CTATTTTTGTCTTTTTATTCTGAGCACTTGCCATAGGGCTTGGTACTTGCTGGAATGTAGCACTGTTAGTTCACAACTTCAGATTTTTTTCTAGCATTTTAGACAGAGTGTAAGGAGAGCAGGTAATTCCTTTATTATATTAGTGATCTCTCTCTATGCTCTGAGAGGGCCAGGCAAATTTTCCTCATGCAAAGTTTGGGACTCCATCACTGTCAGAGTCTGTGACAATTTAGACACATTTAGGCTATCATTAAAGCATATTTTTGAATAATCTATGAAAAAAGATTTAAGAAAAATAATAGTATAAATGAGATGTGCTTACTAGTTAAGAGAAAAAAATTTCAAGCATTTTACGAGTACTTATTGACAATGCAAGGGTGATATGCTAATTACAAAGAATTTTTACATATAAACACAAGAAATGCTAAATTAAGTTGGACCCCATGGACTATCCAGTATTTTGTCCTGTTTGGGATATAAGTTACCATTCACAACATGCTACATGTCAATCATCATTAATTTACCTAAGATCTCTGTGTGTGGAAGCATTTTCATCTTCAGCCTATATATTTATTACCTTGGAGATAACAATTTCCATCTATCTATTACTGGCTTTGTAACAGATGAGAAGTAATGAAAAACAAACTTAATGTAAGCATGTCTTCAGACATACAGAATTAGTTGAGGCCAGCTTTATATTGTAAAGATGAGTAATGCTCTACAATCAGATGCCGTGAGAACCTCCAGGCCACACTGAGGCTCTGGGAGAAGACTTTGGCAGAGGAAGAAGAAAACTGAAGTGAACTGAAGCCAACTTTACTTTGCAGAAACTATAAGCCTTAAATATTCACACTTAGTAATGAGAATATGTAGAAATGGGAATAATAAAGGTACATCTTATGAAAATTAGAAAAAAATTACTTACTGACTCTCTACTTACAGATGTTTTTGTCTTAAAACTACTTCCTTCAGTTTCCAAGGGGCTGCCCCTAGTTCTCAGATTCCAAGATTTGATGGAGAAGTCTGTCCCTGTCCCTTTGTGATTTTTATGCACTTACAACTCTACTTTCCTTTTTTCCACAGTGAAAATATCACAATCTTGTTAGGATCCTTTGACCACTTTAAGTTGCTTTCTTTCCTAGTTCTGCTATGATTCTCTTGTAGGTTAGTGATCAGAGCTGCAAGCAGTGTCCCAGGTATTGCTGCATCAGGGGTTTCTATAAGAATACAAGGCTGCTTTGCTTATTAAAGCAGTTCCTGAAAAATACCTCTCTTTTTTTTTATCATCATCATATAAATTTATTTATTTTTAGTTTTCAATATTCACTTCCACAAGTTTTTGAGTTCCAAATTTCTCATCCCTCCTCCCACCCCAAGATGGCATGCATTCTGAATACCCCTTCCCCTGGTCTGCCTTTCTTCTATCTCTCCCCCCTCCCTTCTCTTATCCCCTTCCCCTTCTATTTTCCTGTAGAGCAGGATAGACTTCTGTACTCCATTTCCTGTATTTCTTATTTCCCAGTTGCATGTGAAAACTTTTTTTTAAAACGTGTTTTTAAAACTTTGAGTTCCAAATTTTCATCCTTCCTCCCTCCCCACCCACCCCCATTGAAAAGGCAAGCAACTCAATATAGGTTGTACATGTGCAGTTATGCAAAACACTTCCTTAGTAGACATGTTGTGAAAAACTAACTCTATTTCCCTTAATCCTATCCTGCCCTCCCATTTATTCTATTCTTTCTTTTGACCCTGTCCCTCCTCAGAAGTATTTGCTTCTGATTACCCTCTTTCCCAATCTGCCCTCCTCTCTATCACCCCCCTGCTCTCTTGTCCCCTTCTCCTCCTATTTTCCTGTAGGGTAAGACAGATTTCCATACCCAAATGAATGTGTATGTTATTCTCTCCTTAAGCTAAATCCTATGAGAATAAGATTCCTTCATTCCCTCTCACCTTCCCCTGTTTCCCCTCCACTGTGAGAGACTTTTCTGTTGTTTTTTTTTGTGAGATAATTTATCCCATTCTACCTCTCCCTTTCTTCTCCGAGTATCATCTTCTCTCATCCCTTAATTTTATTCTCCAAATATGACCCCTTAATCTTCAACTCACCCTGTGCCCTCTATCTATCTATCTATCTATCTATCTATCTATCTATCTATCTATCTATCTATCTATCTATCTATCTATACATACATACATACAATTGTTTTCCTTCAACTACCCTAATACTGACAAAGTTCTCATGAGTTACAAATATCATCTTTCCATGCAGGAATGTAAATAGTTCAATCTTAATAAGTCTCTTATGATTTCTCTTTCCTGTTTACCTCTTCATGTTCCACTGGAGTCCTGTATTTGAAAGTCAAATTTTCTGTTTAGCTCTGGTCTTTTCATCAGGAATGCTGAAAGTCCTCTATTTCACTGAATGACCATTTTTTCCCCTGAAGGATTATACTCAGTTTTGCTGGGTAGGTGATTCTTGGTTGTAATCCTATCTCCTTTGCCCTCTGGAATATTATATTCCATGCCCTGCGGTCCTTTAACATAGAAGCTGCTAAATCTTGTGTTATCCTGATTGTGTTTCCACAGTACTTGAATTGTTTCCTTCTGGCAGCTTGTAATATTTTCTCCTTGACCTGGAACTCTGGAATTTGGCTACAATATTCCTAGGAGTTTTCCTTTGGGGATCTCTTTCAGGAGGAGATCTGTGGATTCTTTCAATTTCTATTTTGCCCTCTGGTTCTAATATATCAGGGCAGTTTTCCTTGATAATTTCTTGAAAGATGATGTCTAGGCTCTTTTTTTGATCATGGCTTTCAGATAGTCCAATAATTTTTAAATTCTCTCTCCTGGATCTATTTTCCAGGTCAGTTGTTTTTCCAATGAGATATTTCACATTGTTTTCTAATTTTTCATTCTTTTGGATTTGTTTTACAGTGTCTTGATTTCTCATAAAGTCACTGTCTTCCAATTGCTCTATTCTAATTTTTAAGGAAGTATTTTCTTCAGTAATCTTTTGGACTTCCTTTTCCATTTGGCCAATTTTTTTTTTAGGGCATTTTTCTCCTCATTGGCTTTTTGGACCTCTTTTGCCATTTGGGTTAGGCTGTTTTTTAAGGTGTTATTTTCTTCAGTATTTTTTTGGGTCTCCTTTAGCAAGCTGTTGACTTGTTTTTCATGATTTTCTTGCATCACTCTCATTTCTCTTCCCAGTTTTTCCTCTACTTCCCTTACTTGCTTCTCAAAATCCCTTTTGAGCTCTTCCAAGGCCTGGGACTGATTCATATTTTTCTTGAGGCTTTGGATGTAGGAGCTTTGACTTTGTTGTCTTCTTCTGGTTGTATATTTTGATCTTCTTTTTCACCAAAGTAAGATAATATAGTCTGACTCTTTTTGCGCTGCTTGCTCATGATCCCAGCCAATTACTTGAGTTTTAAACTCTTTGTTAAGGTAAGAGTCTGCTTCCAATGTGGAGAGTGTACTGTCCCAAGCTTCAGGGGTTTGTGTAGCTGTTTTCAGAGATACTTGTAGGGCCCTGTAAATTTTCAGTTCTTCCAAGGTGGTATGATAAGGGGCAAGGTGTTTACTCCTTTCCTGGCCTGTGACCACAAGTATTCCTTTCTGTCCCGTAGCTGTGAGGAGGGGTTCCTCTCCACAGCCACTACAAGCTCCACCACGCCAGCACTCCTCCTCACCCCAGCACAGCCACCCAGAACTGTGACCCAGATCCACACACGGGCAAAGCAAGAGATTCCTGCCTCAGCACTGGCAAAGAGATCCCTGCAATCCCTCTCTGATCAGCCACTGGATTACCCCTCAGTCTGTGGGCCGGAAGCTCGGGAAGCAGTTGCCTCCCCCAGGGCCATGCTCTTGGGGAATGGAGCTGAAACCCCACCTTCCTCTCTGACCACCGACAGAAACAAGACTTTTCCCACTGACCTTCTAAGCTGTCTTTGGCATTCATGGATTGAGGAGTCTAGAAACCTCCACAGCTCCCCGAGATTCGGTCCTCTGAGGCCTGCTCCAGGTTTGCTGTGGCCTGCGCACCCATGCTGCGCTCCCAGCCCGGTGCAATAGACCTTTCTGATCAACCATCCAGGTTGTCTTGGGCTGGAAATTTGTTTCACCCTGTCTTCTTGTGGGTTCTGCTGCTTCAGAATTTGTTTAGAGCCATTTTTCATGAGTATTTGGAGGGGCTTGGGGGAGAGCTCAAGCAAGTCACTGCTTTCACTCCGCCATCTTGGCTCCGCGCCCCAAAAATACCTCTCCTTGACAACACCTTTTAGTTAAGTTCTCCTTTGTTAGAATATACTCTCCTTTTGAGCAGGGATGATTTAGTTCAATGCATTTGTCCTCCCAGCATCTCTCACAGTGCCTGGCACAGAGTTGGTGCTTCATAGCTACTTGGTGATTGATTAACTGCATATTCCTGAAAGTATTAATACACTACATAATTTTTCAAATATTCTAGACATCAGATTTTAAAATAATTTAGAATGATTTCCTTCTCCATTTGGATGAAATCATTCATTCATGGGATAAATATTTATTAAGTGCTCCCAGTACACAAAGCATTGTGCTAGGTGATAAAGAAGATATTCAGCATGAACAAAACAGTCACTGTTCTTGTGTAACTTAAAGTCTGGCCAGGAGATAGAACAGAGACACCATTAATTATAATATATTATACATGGCACTATTATAACCTTCCAAGTGAGACATGCATTAGACGGTTACAAAATAAAGTTATGTGAGGGAAAATCAGAACTGACTGGGAAGAAAAACAATGTCATCTTCATGGACGTGATCACCTTGGAGTTGGGTTACAAAGGCTGGGTAGGAATTCAATACATATGGAGACAAGAGACAGAATTCTAGGCAAAGAAAGAGACAAGGGAAAGGGATGATTGTTCTTCCCAAATTGTTGTAATGAACTTACTTGTTGGTGACCAAGTTAAAAGGTGATGAATATACCAGAAGACATTTATGGAGCCAATACTTACCTTCTGAGACTTTAAATCCTCTGCAAGAGTTAGAACCTGCTGCTGAAGGGCCCCAACTTTTTCCTGAACATGTTTTTCACATAGGCCTTCAGTAAAGATATGGAAGTTACTGTTCTGCTTTCTGGCTTTCTGAATAAAATTTGCTGTCAGACCCAACTTCTGTGGAAATCTTGAATATTCCTCTATTTCTTTTCCTGTTGAAGAGGGGAAATTTAGAAGTTAGCAATATTATTAGGGTAAAGCAGAAAATCTGTTATGAGGTTAAAGGAAAGGTAACAGATTATTTGAAATATCAGACACTAAGAAGGAAGGACTGAAGTTAATTGGGATGATTTTATTTGCGAAAAGCCTCAGGACTGACTTAATCACAGTATTCTCATATATAAAAGGTTGAGTGGAAGATAGTAACCAGATATTCTCTATCTTCACTGAACACTCAACAAAAAGACTTTTATTTTCAAAGGCTTAAAATAATTCCAGTAAATTCAAAAGGCTAAAAAAGTCTCTGCCTCTCTATTTAAAAAAAAAAAGTCTCCTATGTTCATATGAGTCTGTGTAGGGACCCTTGTATATATTTGCTCTAGACAGATCTGACAGTTTCTTTATCTAATGATACAGAGGGAAGGAAAAGCTGGAAATGAGAAAAAAAGAGAGAGGAAGATGGGAAAATATGAGAAATGCAAAATTTGCAAGCCAAACAGAATTTCTGCAGTTTTGAAAAACTATCTGAAAAATTGTTAAATGTTAAATGTAATCTCAATGAGCCAAGCTGACCTCTACTACTGCATGATTAAAACATATTCTTAAGAACATAAGAAAAAACATATTTTTCAGACTCATAAATCAGACCAAAATTTTGTCTGCTATGGTACAGTGTTTAATGTGAAAGAAGGTTGTCATCCTTAATGACAGTGACCTTAAAAAGTATCTATAGGACTGGGGCAAATCATTTCCTACCTGTGGGGCTCAGTGTCTTCATTTCTAGAATGAAGAGGCTGCACTAAATAATCTTTAAGGTACCCCCTCTCAGCTCTGTGATACTATGAAATCACCTTAAAAAATTTAACTTTTTAATTTTATGTATCAAAATTGTCCATTTTGTGTTCTGTGATCTGCTTCTATTCCTCGTTTGAACTTTTTCCTTATCTGTCCTTGTGAAAGGTACTTTCCTACTCATGGAGAGACATAGGCACAGATATATAGGCATAAACAATACACATATAAAACAGATACAAGACCACCTGTGGGGCAAACTGTCATGGCCAATCTTGGACTTGGAGAAGAGGCTGAGGACAAGTACCTCCCTCCTTTCCTTAGGCAACTAAGAGACTACTGACATAGAATGTTGCATTCATCGTCAAGCGTGGCCATTTTGTCAGCTGGTTTGGCTTAACTTTTTCTGTTAAAAGGGAAGCTCATTCTTGAGGCTACTCCCAAAACTGGCATTGCCTAAGAAATCTTCCTTCTCTGCCCGAAGGCTATATTCTGAGCGCATGCTGCTTAGAAAATCTTTCTTCCTTTCACAGACTTAAGATCACAGTTGTAAACCCCTGCTCTCCAGCCACATGGACAAGCACGAGTCTACCTCTTCTGTGTACTTTGTTCCACCCCAGCCCTGTTGTTGCTATCTCTTGGACTGGAAAAGTACACAATCAATCAGGTGATCAATCCACAGGTATTTAATAGGATCCTACTATGTACCAAGCACTCTGAAGAACTCTCCTTTCAGTTCAAGTGGGCAAGAAAATCGCGGGTAAGGATATTATGAAATCAAGCCGGATTTGTAACATGACTATTTAGTGACTTCCCTTTAATAATGATTTATAAATGTTATTTATCTAATCATAGTCTTTCAATATATAAAGTGTTATCTGAGAGGGAGCTAGTGATCTCACTGAGAAAGAAATGGATCTAAACTCCCCTTGGGTTAATATTAGGATGGTGACTGAATCAATGTTTATAAACACTATTAAGATCCTGGAAGCACTGAGATTTCTCTATAACATAGGCAATGGAACCCACATGTCAGAGTTTTTTCTGTGATGTCTAGGACCTTAAATAACCTCAGTAGTCTATATCCTACCCTCAGCTTTATTTGCAACTTAAGACTGTTATACACCTGCCGAGCATGGTAGTGCACACCTATAATCTCTGCTGCTGGGGAGTCTGAGGTTGGTGGGCTGCTTGTGGGTAGCTCAGGAGTTCTGAGCTACAGTAGGGATAAAGCCAGTCAGGTGTCCCCACTAAGTCTGGCACTAAAATGGGGAGCCACTGGAAAGGGGTGAAGGGTCTCAAGGCAGAAATGGAGTTGGCTAAAGCTTCTGTGATCAGTAGCATGCTGGGGACCAAGAGCAGCCAGTGTACTTCCAGTCTGGCAGAAACAGGGAGACTCAGCCTCACAATAAAGAAATAATGAATAGAATAAGATGAAGTAAACTAAGCCCTCTTACCTCTACTGAAGAGTCTCAGTAACCCACATTCTGACTAAAAAGTCATTAAATCCTTGGACTTGAATAGATATCTTCAAATAAATCTCTTTTTAAATCACTCGATCTCCCTGAAAAGAACACTCTTTACTCTTTTCTTAACATCCAAATAAAAGATTTAATTAACTTTGATGATTATTAAAAATACATTGAGGGAGGAAGAAAAATTTGCAACTCAAAATCTCATAAAAAATGAATGTCAAAAACTATCTTTACATGTAACTGGAAAAAACAAAATTCTATTTAAAATAATAATAATAATAATAAACCACATTGGGATCTTTTGGACAGAGTCAAAAGTAACCTGGGAGACTGACAGAAAAAAATTGAGCTGTTTCTTAACTGATTACCAACAAAGCAAACCTTGAGTTGTCCAAAAGTGCACAACAGCTCATGTTTTATGTATACCCTGCCCTTAGCACAATGCCTGGCATATAGTAAGGACTGAATAATTGCTTGCTGATGGATTGATTGTGGGTTGCCTTGGACCCACTATCAAATAATGCTGGTAAAGGTAGTCATGTTGTTTGTAACCTAAATAGGTAAGAAACAGCCACATAAAAGAAAGCGACAGAGATGAGTACCAGCAAGTCCTGGGTCTGCTTGTAAATATTGCTCCTCATTTTGATTCTCCCCAAACTTCTGGCATTCATCCCCTTGAGAAACACGGCCATTTCCCCTGGACTGCTTGTTGCTACAGATGTTATGCACTGTGTTTCTGGAAACAAAGGAATAACAAAAGGAAAGTGAAGTGAGTCTCAAATGTAACCAAGATCCTTGAGCACAGGAACAAACAATGCAACATACAGAGTAGATATTCAAAAAATATTTTTAAAAATGTGTGAAAGAAAAAGACAGTATCAATATGGAAAGGCACTTTTAGTCAGTCAACAAGAATTTACTAAGGACTTACTATATGCGAGTACTGAGCAAAGCGCTGGGGTACGAAGAAAGCAAAAATAGTCCCTTGCTCTCAAGGAGCTTATATTCTAACAGGCAAGACAATATGTATACAAATAGGAATATGTGGGATATGTGCAGAAAAGGTGAAAGGTAATATTAGAAGGCAAAGCTACAGTAGCTTAGAGGACTAGGAAAGCCCCCCCCCTTAAGACATCCGAGCTGTCTTAAAGAGAGTCCAGGAACATAAGAGTTGGAGGTGAGGAGTAAGAGCGTTCCAGGGCACAGCTAATGTAAGGTACTGCAAGGAGGCCAGTGTAGACGGACCACAGAGTGCACAGAGTAAAGTGACGTAATGGGAATTTAAAGTGAAGTGCCATGACTGTAAAGTAAGAAGGGGTCAGGGTGTAAAAAGCTTTAAATGCCAAACAGAGGACTTTAAATTTGATCCTGGAGGTAATAGGGAGTCACTGGAACTCACTGAGTAAGGGCTGACACTGTCTGACAAATGCTTTGGTAGCTGAGTGGAGGATGGACTGGAAGGGGAAAGACCTGATGCACACTATCTGTCTGAACACGGGCAAATCACTTAACCTCTTAACGTCCAAGCAAGCTAATACTCTAAGTTAGGGATGAAAGGACAAACTGCATCATTGATCGAAGGATTTTCTTACATTGATGAACCCATAGATCTGAATTCTCTTAAAAAAAAGTTGTTTTCTGTACTTTGCTACCTATGATTTATTGAAAAACAGCTAAACAATTTTAGTAATAACAGAACAGTAAAATAAAAACAATTGCTACATTAATGAATCAACGAGCAATGGATTTTTAACCTCGTTTCTCATGCTCATCATTAATAAACTATTATAACTATCTGAATAACTGAAATGGCTTACTATGCTGATGTAACAGGTAACTACAAGAGCAAATTAAAGTTCAATCCCACTGAAATAAGAAGAAATGTAGGAAAAGCATGACTGTGCTAATATTTGTTAGATTATATGAAAGGTGTCTGAAAAATACCAGTTAGATTCAAGAAAGTCACTAAACTTTGTATATCCTCTTTTACCTACTGAAGTCACTACTAGATCAAGGAGGTCTAAGACAAAGGGAAAGGCCTCACATGTACAAAAATATTTATAGCAGCACTCTTTGTAGCAGCCAAGAGATAGAAGGAAGGAAAGTGGGTGCCCATCAACCGGGGGATGACTGAAAAAACTGTGCTGTATAAGTATAATGAATCTTCCTGCACTGTAAGAAATGAAGAATATGAGGAATTCAGAACAAATTAAGGCTTACATGAACCAATGTGGAGAGAAGGACTAAGAACTAAGAAAACAATTGGCAGTGACCAATTGATTGATGGTCACATATGTCTAATGCCTCTTAGCAGAGAAGTGGTGGGGAAGTATGTAAAGAGCTATATGTTTTCAGACATGGCTAATATATTGATTTATTTTGGAAAGTTCTACCACACAACAGGAAGTGTTGAGCATTCTTCAATCTGTCCATTTCATCATGATACCATCAGGGATTGGCCACCTATGTGAGCACAGCTCTGGTGTAATCATACAATCTCGGAGTTGGAAGGGTTGTCAGTGGTAACCTAGTCCAATCTACAACTGAAGATAATTTCCCTTTAAAATATCCCTGACAAATCTTAATCCAGCCTCTGCCTAAAGAGCTCTACTGATGGGAACTCTCTACTTCTAGGCAGACTGTTTTACTTTTGGACAGTTTTAATTTAAAAGTAGCCAGGCACATAACCTAGACAACTTGGCCTTGGAATAAGACAGACTTGGTTTCAAGTCTATAGTTCAGCACTCCGACGCAGAGCAGAGTGAATCAGTTTCCTCTTCCACATGAGGCCACATCAAATATTTGATGATAGCTATCATGCTTTCTCCCTTTGACCTCAACCCCCACCTTCTCTTCTTCAAGCTAAACAACCAATTTTTTCTCTTGATTGTTACATGGCATGAGGTTGAGACCTTCCCTAATTTGCCTTCTTCTGGATGCTCTCCAGCTTATCACATCTTTTCTTGATGAACTGGTTCCTGATGAAAACATTCTGGATAGTAGTTGCTATTCCCCTTTTTAGTCAAATCCTACCTCTGTGAACCTGGACAAGTCTCAATCTCTCTGGGGCTCAGTTTCTTCATGTGTAGGATGAGGGGTAAGATTACATGGCCTTTGATGTCCCTTCCAGCTTGAGAACTATGATCCTATGAAATCTTCCTATAATAATGTATGTTACGAGACAGCTAGGTAGTGCTGGGCCTGGAGTCAGGAAGACCTGAGTTCAAATCCAGCTTCACTTATTAGTTCTGTGCCCCTGAGCAAGTCATTTAACCTCTGTTTGCTTCAGTTTCCTCAACTGTAAAATGGGGATAATGATAGCACCTACCTTGTAGGGCAGCTGTGAGGATCAAAGAAAATAATATCTATAAAGTGCTTAGCACAATGCCTAGGGCATAGGAGGTGCTACATAAATGCTTATTCCCTTCTACAAGGGCTCCCCCTCCATAATTTCAGCAACAACAATGGCTCAGGAATCACATTCTCAAGTTCTTTCAGCATCCTGGGATGCAGTTTATCTAAGGTTTGGTGATGTAATTCATTGAGAGCACTTAGGTGATTTCTCACCATTTCCTCATTTATCTGGGGTTTCACCTCCATTAATAATTTTTTGTTTTATATTTTCTTAAAGAACACTGTCCTTGTTAACTATGAACTCTGTGTGTATAAATGTGGGAATTCATGAATACATAAATGCTTGCCTGGCAATGTCTCTGTGTGTATGTATATAGTAAGACTGCTGAAGCTTATCAATCAATAGGTTCTTGCTTAGCTACACACTCTGGAGATATGGGCAAGAGCACCAAGTGCTTCTGCAAAATCCTGAGCGCTTGAGCCTTTACGTTCTTGCCCCAAATTTCCTGTAGCTTATTAGCTTATTATGAATGGCTTTAGGAGGAAGTGACTGTCTTTACCTCCAAAGATTTCCTTCCTTTTCTTGATCCATGTTTGAATTTTATCAGTTCCACTTTTAAAATGTCTTAGTGACCCTGGCTAGATTTACTTAAACAAGATCTGTTGGCATTAATCCTCATTTTACATGTAGTTATGAAAGAACATAAAAGAATCATTAGACTACAGAGAAAGCTGTACTGATGAACAATTCACCGAAACATCTACATCAGCAAAAGCTATCAATTTAAATTAAAAATAAGACAAACTTTTAGAATGATGTAATAAAGAACAAGATTAGGATTCCAGTTTTGTCTCTGCTACTGTATGCTGTATCACACCTTGGGCATACTAATTTAACCCATGTAAGCACAGCATAATGATGTCTGTTCTCTTGGGTTCTGGTCTTGAATATCCAGCTACCTCCTAGACAGCTCCCTCTGGATGTCCCAAAAGCCTCTCCAATTCAACAAGTTCAAAACAGAACTCCTCTGCTCTGATGACAGGGGATGTTAATTGAAAAACACTGTCTAATTGGAAATGGTCTGACTGCAGACATTAAATTTAAGAAAAAAAATGATGGTTAGTAATGTCCTATTTTTTTTTTTTGGTTTGAGGCTTTATTTAATACAAACAACTATGTACAAAGCAGATCATTCCTTTTCTTTATGGCACTAACATGTGGGACTGCTGACTGTGATGGCCCATCGAGTGCTCTCTCCCCAGTGACTTTAGAAGAAACCCTGAGCAATCTCCTCACAGTAAGACTGGTTGCTTATCAGGAGCCATTTCTAGCTCTGACCAAAAGAAAATTTCCTGACTAGCTGGTGGCATATGTTTTGTCCTCTTACTGATTCCATAACTAATACTGGGCATTAAGAACTGGCTCTTCAATTAACTTTACACTCCCTGACTCTTGGTTTACCCAAGTTCCTCCTGATCTTGACATACCAAATCTGGCTTGTGTCCAATGAACTTTTTGGTTCCTTTCTTGATTATTTCAAGCTTTGCCAGGGCTCTGAGAGCAGGCTTAATGCCAGCCAAGAGAAGACAAATTCCTCAAAGAATAGCACTAAGTGGAAAAGAGGGAGACGGAACCATATACTTCTTTGGGAGTCCATGATTTCATCTTTGTCAACATTCCTTCTACTAATGTAGCTCCCAACCCCTCTACAACTTGGCAGGTGGTTTAATTAATGATGTAGCTAAAATAAAATCATTTGGTAGCCAACCCTTTGGTGATGACTATCTTTACTAGTAAGCTAGTTAGACTGGCTGCACAGTGGAAAGAACTCTGGACTTGTAGTCAGGAAGAGGTGAGTTCAAATCCCAGGATCACACAAGCTTAGAAGCCATATATATATATATATATGTATGTATATATGTGTATATATATATATATATATATACATATACATATATATGTATATGTATATATATATATGTATATATATATATATGTATATATATATATATATATATATATATATATATATGTATATATATGTTCTGAGCAAGTCACTTAGCTTATGTCTATGTCTGTTTCCTTATCTGTAAAATGGGGATAATAACAGCACTTACCTCTCATGGATGTGGTGAAGATTAAGTAAGATAATATTTTTAAAGTGCTTTACAAACTAGTGCTATATAAGTGCTAGCTATTATTATTATTATCATCACTATTAGCTATTATTATTTCACTGATAGGCCTTTATTCAAAGCCTTGCCATCTTGATAGGAATTCTGCCCATGCAGCCTTTAGGAATGCAAGCTCACTTTTACACCACAATGAATCACTTTAGTGGAGGACTAATACAGTCATTTTGCTGAAAGGGATAGTAAGCTCATTTCATGAAAAATGAAAACACAAGACTCAGATGGAATTTCTAGCCATATTAAAACATTTACTCAAATTTGCTGTTGTTCAGTTGTTTCTGACTCTGTTTCTGATCCCACTTGGGGTTTTCTTAGCAAAGATACTGAAGTGGTTTGCCATTTCCTTTTCTAGCTCATTTTGCAGACGAGAAAACTGAGGTAAATAGAGATAAGGGACTTGCCCAGGGTGATATAGCTAGTAAATGTCTGATGCAGAACTTGAACTCAGGTCTTCCTGACTCCAGGCACAATGCTCTATCCACTGTACCACCTAGCTGCCTTACTCATATTACAATTCTTGTTTTGTTTTGGTTTTCTGGTGAGGCAATTGGGGGTAAGTGACTTGCCCAGGGTCACACACCTAGTAAGTTTCAAGTGGCTGAGGCCACTTGAACTCAGGTCCTCCTGATTCCAAGGCTGGAGCTCTATCTACTAGACCACCTAGCTGACCCTCAATTACAATTCTTATAAACTATGTTTAATAGCTTCATTTCATAAAATGTTTATATAAATGCAAACTGCTATAGTAGAATTACTCTCAAATTCAAACCAATCTATGATCTTATCGACTTGAGAATTCTTTCCAACAACACAAATCACAAGCCATGCTTGTGAATCCTCCCTGTAAGAGTCCATCAAATTATGTACAGGTCCTTCTTCGATTTCTCTTAACATGAAGAGGATACCACAAGTATTCTCGCCATCCACTGTTATTTCTCACTCTTACCATGTGACCACTCCATATTCACCTTTTGTCATTATCTTCTTTTTTCCTTCTTCTTTCTTCATCATTGTTTAGTTCTTTGGAAGCAGTGGTGTTCTAAGTGTTGTTTCCACAAAGTAGCACCAATAAAGTATTTATACTGAAAAAAAGGATCCTTGCCTTCTGGAGAAGCTCAGAGTCAGTAAAAGTACTTTTTACCCTTCCACAAACAATCCAGCCAGCTCTCCGTCTTCTCAAGTCTGGGCCCAACTCATTGCCCATTTGTACTGTCAGATATAGATGCTGTTGGACAATGTCTGTAGGGTGTCCATTCAGATGCATATTGAAATTTGGAAGACATTCTCCACCCACATTTGGTCTTTCCTGTTTGGATAGACAGGCCAAACTCCTTTGAGTAATTACAGATCTCTTCCTAGAGACTCTGCAGTGTTTCAGGGCTTGATGCAAACAATATAATGTCATTTACAGACAGAAGCATCTTGAAGACCTCACTATTCACAGGGAATTCCTCTATGTATCTCCCTGTTTTTTGCCCTGCCTGCTTATTACCAAAGGGTCACTGAATAGTTACTTCTATTGTTACATTTAAGAATGATAAGTAGATGGGGGACAACTTGTAAAAGAGCCTGTAAAGGCAGAGTTTTGTTCTACTGAGGATTAAGAAAAGGTCATTAGATTTGGCAGTTAGACCATTGGTAACTTTGAGAGAGCAGTTTCAGTTGAGTGATGAGGTCAGAAGTCAGATTGCTGGGGGTTTAGAAGAGAGTGAGAGGAAGTGGAGGCATCCAGTGTAGTGGCTTTTTTTTTTTTGGTTGGGCAAATGAGTTGCCCAGGGTCACATGGCTAGTAAGTGTCAAGTGTCTAAGGCCGTATCTGAATCCAGGACCAGTGCTCTATCTATTGCACCACGTAGCTGCCCCTGTAGTGGCTTTCTCAAGGAATTTAGCAGAGAAGAGGAGCAGATGGGATGGTAGCATCAAGAGAGGGTTTTCTAAGCATGAAGGTGATATGGCTGTATTTGTAGGTGGCAGGAAAGGAGCAGGTACACAGGGAACAGACTGCAGACTAGAGAGTGGGAATGATAGAGAAGACAATCTACTGGAGAAGATGCAAGGCAATGCATCAGGGATGAAGGATGTACCTAGAGAGGTTTGTCTGGGCAAAAAAAAAAGGGCCACCTCTTCATATGAGATGGGTTAAAGAGGAGACTGTGGGGGAGTATGTCTGAGTGATGTGAAGCAAGCAGAAGGGGAAAAGAGGAAGTTCTCAGGAAATGGACTCAAAGATTTTGGTGCAGTGTGAGTCAGCTCCTTAAGCTGAGAGGGTGGGAAGCTTGGTGAGGGACAAGAATGGAACAGCCACTGTGGACAGTGGGAGAACAAACTGATTACAGAGAAGCAGTGAGAGCCCAGTTAGGATGATGTAACATAAATGTGAAGTGTGCCCAGGCAGCAGAGTTTTGTGCACGCAGCTACTTAGTAGCGGAGCCAGGATTAGAACACAGGCCTCTTGGCTCACCGACTAAGCCACAGAAGGTGCTATAACTATTTTCAATTTTATATAATATTCCTAGCCGTCACACATAACATTTTAAGGCTTGCCATATGACTTAGGCCAACTATCTCATTTGATCCTCACAAGAACCTGTAAGGAGGGTACTACAGGTGTTATTATCCCCATTTTACAGATGAGGAAACTGAGGAATCTCAGAGATTCTTTTGTTCATGTTCTTATTGTAAGTCAGTATCTCATATTTTATCCAATCTACATCTTCTTAATTCCATGTACAGCACACTTGGCATTACACTTGTAGTTACTGTTCAGCTTTTCAGTCGTATCCAACTCTTCACAACTCTGTCAGCGGTTTTCTTGGCAAAGATACTGGAGTGCTTTGTCATTTCCTTCTTCTTTTGCACTACCAAGTTATAAATTTGTCCACTCACATAAATGTTTATTAAGTATCTATCATATGCTTGGTGCTATGGGAGATACAAAAAAGACATGTTCTCTGCCATCATGGAGCTTATAGTCTATCAGTGGAGGTAAAACATGCACAAATAAATACAAATAAATGTTCAAGTGAAGTAAGAGAGGTAGAAAGTGTTCTGGTATTTTAGCAAAAGCTCCTTTTGGTCAAGGGAGGGTAAGTGAAAACATCATGGAGAATATGGCATTGAACAAGGTGGCATGAAGGACATGTAACACAAACAGAGCTAGGATGGGTGAGACAACAATTCCAGGTGAAGGGAATCATGGGAGCGATGACAAAGAAGTGGGTGAATGAAGGGTGTGTTTAAGGAATGGCAGATGGTGAGCCAGCAAGATACAATGTGCTAGGCACTCTGGTAGTCAGTACTGTTGGAACAGGGGGTGTATAAAAGAAAGCAGTGTGAGACAGGCTGAAAGAGCAGGTTAGAGCTAAATTGTGGCAAACCCTAAATGCCAGTCTAAGGAGTTTAAATTTCCTTCAGTAGGCCATAGGGTGTTACTGGCGGAGAGAGCGGCGGAAGAGTGTTTCAAATGATGAGAAAGGTGCTTTAGGAGTGGCTCAGATGAACTGGAAGGGAAAGTGACCAAAACAGGTAGAGTAGTTAGAGCTTAGTCTAAGAGTCAAGGTCAGAGATGATGAGGGCCCAAACTGGCTTGGTGGCAGTGGAAATCGACAGAAGGGATGGATCCTGAAATATTCCAGAGGTACAAATGAAAGTAAAACTGGTAATAACAATAATTCACAATTTTATATAGTGCTTTAAGGTTTGCAAGTGTTCTCACAAGATCTGTCTAAGTTATGTAGTAAAAGTATTATCATTCCTATTTTAAAGATGAAGAAACAGGCTCTGAGAAATCAAATCAGGGGTGCTCTTAACCTGGGATCCATGAACTTGTTTTTCTCATATTTTGATAACTGCATTTCAATAATCAGTTTCCTTCATGTGTATCTCATTTCACACAAATAAAAACATTATTCAAAGAATAACACCACAAAAAAGGTTAAGAACTCCTGGGGTAAGGATTTCTTCATGGTCACATAGCTAGTGTCTAAGGGAGAATTTGAACCCACATCTCCTAGCCCAATGCACCATCCTGCCATCTCACTCCAAGATTTGAATTGTGCTTATTTTCTAATACTTAATTTGCTGCACTGTAATTTTGATAGTTTGTCTACTATAATTATAACTATAGCAAATGAAAGTAATAATAATGTTATACATTTCATGTAATTTATATATGTATTTATTTAACTATGTGCCAGACACTTTGCTAAGTGCTTCACAATTATTATCTCATTTAGTCCTCCAACACTATTTGTATCCTCATTTACAGATGAGGAGACTGAGGCAAACAGAGGTTAAATGATTTGCCCAAGATTACACAGCTAGTAAGTGTCTGTGGCAACATTTGAATTCAGATCTTCCTGACTCCAGGCCCAGCACTCTATCTACTACACCGTCCAGCTGCAATTGTAAAGTTCATTTAATGTAAACATATATCACAGTTTTTAGCAGTATCAGAAGGTACCAATCTATAGATTAGTTATCCCAGTTCCCTAAACACTTACTGTATTTCAGTTCCTAGGTGTTTGAGGGAAATATTCGGGAGGGTAGTGGGCATCTCTGGAACAGGCTGAGAAGCAGCTGCTATGCCCACTAGTCCAGTTGGTGTTTTCACAGGGAAGAAAAATTCATCAGTTTCTGCATTACCTAGTTCTAGAGAACAAAATAAAAGTGAAACATATAGACCCAATGTTATAGTGCTTTAAAAAGCTCATGTTTAGATTCATGTTGAATCTTAATTGTTTTTAGCTGGCTGGCTCTCCTCTGAGAGGCTGTCCATTCACCTATCCCTTCTGATTCACAAGGCCAGAAGCAGGGGTCTGGATACTCTGCTCCCCAGTGATACTTTCAAACTGCTACCATGCCTCAACAATGCTTCTTTCTTCAAAGTTAATGTCATCAGATCACATCCCCCAATCCTCAGAACTATAGCTACCTTCCTGACTTTCCTCAATGACTTTAGTGCCTGCTTCACAGTTCTCTTCTCCTCCCTACCCTGGCTATCATTCTCCCATAATTCAAAATTCACGGGCATTACACTTTGAACTAGCTGACCTCTTTCGAAGAGCTCTATCTCTATTCTACTGCAGCCACACACCAGCAGAACTACTCTTTAGACCTGACCATTATGTGGCACCATATGCTCCCAAATCCTGAATTCAAAGATCCCTTAGATAACAATCCCTCTACCACTCCAACTCCCTCACACTAAACCCACTCTTTGCCCTCCTCCTCATCTCTAATCCAACTTTTTCCAGTCTATCCCTCTCCCTTCACCTCCCTTTTGGCTTTACTTATCCCTTTCCTCAGTCTTAACCTAATAATGGCCAGCTACTTCAAAAAATGCCCTAGCCATAAATTTACACGATATTGTCCCTGTGACCTTCTTTGATCCCTATTAAGCTAATCTTCAACTCTGGTTTAGCCTCTTCATTTGATTTCTAGGATCCTGCTGTTGCGTGTTGATAGATAAGATCTCAAAATTAACCCAACTTCATTTATTATAAATTTGTCAGTCAACAAGTATTTATTGTTTACACTGGGCTAAGAACTGGGGGCACAACAACAATAAAAAGGTAAATACAAGAAGCTCACATAGTACTGGGGGAGAAAACATGCAAACAAACTGTGTACGCACCAGTGTACATGGGAGTACACAGTGTACAGTGTAAATGGGAGATAATCTCAAAGGGAAGGCATGACTGACTAGAGAGAGGAGGCATGAGGGGTGAAGAGGGACCAGGAAAAGCCTTTGGTAGAAGCTGGGATTTCAGCTGAATCCTGAAGGAAGCTAGGGAAGCCAGGAAGTGGAGATGAGGAGGGAGAGCATTCCAAGCACAAGAGACAACCAGGAAAAGGTTCTGAGTTGCGAGGAGTGGCATGTGTGAGGAACAGGAAGAAGGACAGCATAGCTGGATGGCTGACTAAGTGGAGGGCGTTAAATTGTGAGAAGACTGGAAAGGTAGGAAAGGACCAGTTTGTGAAGGGCTTTAAAAGCCAAACAAAGGGGGCAGCAAGGCGGCACAGTGAATAGAGCTCTGGCCTTGGGGTCTGGAGGACCTGCGTTCAAATCCACCCTCAGACACTTAACACTTACTAGCTGTGTGACCTTGGGCAAGTCACTTAACCCTGATTGCCTAAGCAAAAAAAAAAAATCCGAACAAAGGATTTCATATTTAACCCTGGAAATAATAGGGAACTACCAGATCTTATTGCATACTTGGGGGACCCAGTCAGATGTGCTTTAGGAAAATCACTTTGGCAGCTGTGAGATGGATTGGAGTGGGAAGAGACTTGTTGCAGGGATACCACGCAGCAGGCTGCTGCAGTGCTCCAGGTGTGGGGCGATAAGGACCTGTACCAGGGTGGTGGTTGTGTGAGTACAAAGAAAGGGCTTTTATGATTTGTTGGGAAAGTAGTAACAACAAGGCTTGGCAAGAGACTGGATGTGTTGGGTAAGTGTGAGTGAGGAACCTAAGATGAAATATGGGTGTGAGACTGGGAAGATGGTGGTATTCTTGACAGAAATAAGGAAGTACGGTGGAGGGGAAGGTTTTGTGTGAAAGATGCTGAACTCTATTTTGGATACTTTCACCTCAACTGTACACTCGCTGTTACTCAGAAATCCTTTTATTTTATTCTTATCAGTTCACAGTCTAAATCCTCACAATTGGTCTAAATCTCTTTCCATCTCTTCTCAAGCCTACAATTTCTCTCTACCCTTCATGCTCAGCCAATGACATAATTTTCCCTTACTGAGATCACAGTCATCTTTTGTGATATCCTTTGACTTCTTGTCCCTTAAAACTCCTAAGTAATTTCACCTTTTTTCCTCTCTCTAGTTTCAGAGGAAGAGGAAACCCTACTTCCTGGCAAGGCCAACCCCTTCACTTATGCATTTATCCCTTATTGCTTCCTCCTGCTTTATCAATCAATCATCCTCTCTTTTTTTTGCATCTTGAATCTCCCCCTTTCTACTGACTCCTTCTCATCTTATTGCAGCAGTGGCCAGACTTCTCCAATCTTAAAACACACACACACACACACACACACACACACACACACACACACACACACCCACCCTTCCTTGACCATTCAATTCCATCTATGGCTTCTGATACTAGTTACCAAATAAAATCAAAATTTTTAGGCTGTTAGTCAAAGCTGTTCATTAATGGACTGCCTCTCTCATTTTCAGTCTTATGACTACCCTTTATATGCACTAAGCTACAGAAAAACTACTACTCGCTGTACCTTTTATATGCCTCCAGACACGACTTACTGCCTCAGTGCTCCTCCCGTACCCTCTGCTTGGGATGCCCTTTTCCTACTTGTGACCTTTGAAATACTATCCATGCTTCAAGGCCTGGCTCAAACACTGGTTCTGCTCCTCAACATTTGAGTAACCATGGGCAAGTCACTTAAACTCTCTGGATCAGATTCCTCATCTAAAAATGAGGGGTTTGGATCACAGGATCTCCAAATCCTTTCCAGTTGTAGATCTATGATTCATCCATGGAATCTTCACTGATCAACCATGTTTCTAATGCCTTGGAAGCTAAAGTCATAGTCTCGCTCCCATTAATCACATAAAATCCATTTTCTTCCACAATGTCCCCAAATAGCTCCTGTGAACTGTCACAGCTTATCTCTAGCACTGTCTGCAAAACTGGAAAGTTCTTGAGTCTCATCATAAGCTGTCAGGAATTGAGGAGTGTATCTCCCACTTTCTCCTGTTAACGTAATGGCATTTCTGAAAAAATGATTCTATTACCAGTGCTTCCCTAAACCATATAATATTCTACCAAATATGAGGGCTGGTTTATCTCAACCCCAATCTGGCCTACTCTAGTTGACACTAAATGTTTATTGGCACAGTAGATGCATCTGGCTTCTAGATCTACTTTCACATTCCTCCATATCTACTACTCTAGGAATCCAACACCTGAGGAATGAAATGCTAGATGGTGAGAAGGAACCTTGGTTATTAAGATTACATTCAAAATTTGATAGCACCATCTAGAAGGGCCCCAAAACCTCATTCTAGTAAAAACCTACTACCAGAACCTGGAAGACCTCCAAACCCCTGGTTTCTCTCACTTTACTCCCTTTAACCCCTTATGTTTTTGGTAATTGCTTCTGTTCATCTGGCTATTATTCCTTCTTTCACATCCTACATTTCAATATTCACTTAACAAACATTTATTAGATGCCCAATATGTTATGTTACTGTGCTGAGATGCTGAGTGTTCCTGATATCAAGGAGCTTATCTAAACATTCCCTCACAGTTTTATTCTTAACCTCTTGTCTTTCTTTCATTGATCACATCTATGACTTCAGTTATTATTATTATTGTTATTTTTCAACCTACGTAGATGATTCACATACTTTTATTTTAAACTTCGAACTCTCTCTCAGCTCTAGCCCGATTTCCAACTGTCAGTGGAATATTTGTACATGCATGACACAGAGGCACCTGAAATTCAACATAAATCTTAGGGGTATAGCAAGACATAGAGAAGAGAAGAAAATATGGAAATGGATTTTCTGCCCAGAAACAGGTAAAAGAGATGAAGTAAGTGGTATAAATTCCCAGGTGTAGGATATTAAAGTATGTACTTGAGATACACCAACACACAATTTAAGTGCAAGTGAGTGGGGATCTACCCAAAGGGGACACAATAGCAGCAATAAGAAGGTATTCAAGATACTATGCTATAGGAAGAAAATGTTTTTGGAAAGCTAAGTGAACTGAATATAAGGTATAAGTATATATATATAATATATACAATATATTATATGTTAGTGTAAGGGGTATGTGTGTGTGTGTGTGTGTGTGTGTGTGTGCGATTCACAGTATCACACTTGTAAGAGCTGGCAATCTCACTAATTCCCTGTAGTTGCATAACCACTCAAATTCCACTTCCTTCATGAAGTCTTTCCAGATCACCCAGGCTACAAGCTTTCCCCTCCTCTAGGTTCTTGTTTGTTCCACTCTTATCACATTCTGACTCCATTCCTAAGTAGACTTAACGGGAGACACTGTAGCTGCTTTCAAATATATGAAGGGCAGTCATGGGGAAAAGAGATTAGAATTGTTTTGTTTGGCTCCAGAGATCAGAACTAGAACAAGCCATACAATTAGAGAGGCATGTTTTTGCTTGAAATAAGGAAAAATCCCAACAGTCAGAAATGACCAAAAGTGGAATGGGCAGCCTCAGAAGGTAAATGAGATCCCAGGCATTTGAGGTCTTTAAGTGGGTACAGGACAGCCACTTGTTAGGGAGCTGAAGAGGGGATTCTTGCTCTAGTGGAGAGAGTGCTAGATTCTGGAGGCAGGAGATGGGTTTAATTGCCACTTGTGATACTAGCTGTCCTAATTTGTCCCCAGACCAATACCTGAAGTGGTATAGCTTTAGGATGTGACAGAATTTGTCATCTGCTGCACGGCTGCCAAGAGTCCTGTGTCACCTCCACATCAGGATGAAGCATTACAGCATGACCCATGGGAGACAGGGAGGAAGGAAAGGATCCACGCCTTTATGTTATAATGCAAAGTAAGATTAAAAGGGATTGTGCACATGTTCTAAAGTCTTAAATGTATGTTTTATAATTATGAACAGGCTTAAAGAGACAAAGCAACACAGAGTACAGGCCTCTTTATATTGTGCAGATATTGTACAGTAGAACATCAGTTATATGAGGATGTTCTAAGTAAAATACCACATAAAATTAAGGGTATGGGTTAAAACAAAGCAGAAAAAGGAGTGTGAAAACTAAGACTATTCTGATTCTTCTGGTTAGTCACTTTCCAGTACAAGTCACGTAGGAATTCAGTTATCTCAAGGCTTTCTTGCTGTCACCAGTCTGATTCTAATCAGCTGAAATTGCTCAAACTCATTATGTAAACATCAATGAAACCAGATTTGGAAATATAGGACAGAAGGCAGTTAAGCAAATGGGAGAAGAGAGACATTTTAGTAAAAAGGATCTTTATTAATGAGTCTCTAGGGATTTAAAACTTCAGAAAGATTCCCAACAAAAAAAAAGATTACTTTTTGCTCTAAATACCAATCTAATACTATGCAGCTACAAAGTTTTCTTTTCTAATTTTCAAGTGAATTGGATTTAGTCATAACAGGAAATAGTTTTAAGGGTTTAACTGCATATACATTTTTCCAGTAGTTGTATAAAGGTCATGAAAGTGTTTTTTTAAAACCTATTTCAAATTAGATTCAGACAAAGGGTGATACACTTTTCTTGCAGGTTTCTTTTACCTTTCTACTTGAGGTCAGGAGGCCCTAATTAGTTTTCAGCATTCACTGAAAACTGTGAAAACTTGCAAAGCATTTTAATTTGTGTGCCATTACACTGTGGCCTTATGGCAACAGTGAAAAGCTGCCAAAAGTCTGCTACTGTGAGGATGCCTTCCCTGGCTCTCCCTTCCCATCAGTGTCAGAAATACCCCGAAGCATGCACTAGGTTGGGGCTGAGGAGGGCAACTAAGTGATCTAGCTGAGTGACACACAAACGGAAATGCAGCTGACCTGCATGTATGTAAGAAGATCCTTGAGTTGAATTAAGGTGCACAAATACAAATTTGTATGCAGTTCAAGGGCATTAGAAGCTGACAGTGATTTCATAGAAGGTTGGTCCTTATAATGCCACTTGGCTTTGCTCTGTTGCAGTGTCACACTTGAACCTCTATCCCCAGCTACTTCTTTTATGTCACTAATGTATACTTTTCATCACAAAGGGTTTAGGAAGAAGAACACAGAGGTCACCACAAATTCACTATTGCTTCTTCAAAGCAACTGATGATGGGGCAGCATCATCATCTTTTCATATGACAGACATGTCAGGTATCAAGCAGCTAGATCTGTACCATCGCTAGAAACCATACATGAGAGGGGTGGATACATTAGAAGAAGCACTGCACGTCAAGTCAGAAAACCTAGACTTGTGTGCCAGTGGTAGATCAAGTACTTCTAGCTGTATCTGCTTAGGCTTAGAAAAGTCAAGGCGCTGGCCTCTTTCCTAGCTCTAAATAGAGGTAATATTTGCTCACCTGTTTCACAAAGGCATTATGGGAACAAATGAGATAATATATAAATCATTTTGAAAATAAATATATATATAAATATAATATATTAATTATAGGCTTAAATTGAAGGCTTAAAAAGCTTTTAAACTGACACTTGGGTTTGAGAACCCTTTTGCACTAGCTTCCTATATGACTGTGGACAAGTTATTTATATTTCTTTGTATTTTAATTTCCCTTTGCCTAAAAAGTATATGATTATTGCTATTGAAATAAATTGTACATCTTTCTGAGGCTCTCAATTTTAGAAAGGTATGTAAGTATAATATATTGTTATCTGAACATTCTCTTTCATGGAACAAATAATATGTCCAGTATCATTCTGTTGTTAGAGCTGGAATATCTTTGTTCCCTAGGAGGGTTCCTATACTTCTTTTAAGAATTAAGAATGTAAGAACCATGGAGAAGGGATTCACTCTCACATAGACGTGAGAAAATTTTTCCAACTTCTGTGTTAAACTGTGGAGGGCTTCTTTGTTGGGTTTATGATGGGCAACTTACAAATAACAGTCCAGAAAAGAAGAAAGAATAAGGGAAGATATTCTATTTTTGATAAAGGAAATTAAAAAGAAACCAACATGTATATAACAAGAGATTTGTTAGTGTAACTCTTGTTTCTGATATCTATTTATCAGAGGCTATGGAGATTAAAAGTTTCTTTAAAAGTACAGAAGCAAGAGGGATGTTTGTACTGGCAGTTGGTGTGTGTTTATCTCTGTCCTATGATCTTTGAAGAATCTGAAGAATACAGAGGAAGAAGATGATGTGAAATACCTGTCGTGATATGTTTTACAGAAAACATTTTTTAAAGAAATGTTATGAAGTGAATCCTAGGAAGAGTCTATGAAGAACTGGCAAGTACAATGTACTTTGGAAAGACTATGATTAATGAAGAAAAGACAAAGAAATGACTCATATTGAACAGAAATATTAAAAAGATTCTTAAGAGACTTTCATCAATATCTGGATTGAACTGGAGTAAGACTTGAGGAGTAATTTTAATATTTATTTAATTACATATAATTAAAAGTAATTACTATTGGGAAAGGATGATTCTACATTAGATTTTGAGCTCCTCTGTTTTACCTTAAAGGTAGGGATAAGTTTCTGCCTTTCTTTGTATTCCCCAGAGCTTAGCACACTGTCTGGCTCATAGTAAATGCTTGATAAATATTTGTTGACTTGAGACTTCTTTCATTTCATTAAATAACTAATATTTCATGAACTGGGATGGGGCTTAAACTAGTTAGTTAAAGAGATACAATTTTATTAATGAGAAAAATCGCAACTAATTCTAGATGGCTATAAAGCTCAGAAAGATAAAATTAAATAAACAGCAATGAGTCAAATGGGAAGCTGACAGTGTCAAGATAATATCATATATGGAACTATGACTTTGCCACTCCAACAGTTAATAACAATGCTTTCTTTCCTCTTTCTAATCCATAAACTCTTTAATATTTTAGAATATGGTGGTAAAGAGGCCAAGGTCATAGGTTTGTCCTTACAAATACCAGTTAGCTTTGCTCTGTGGCAGTGCCACATTTTATAAAGAGTATGGTAAGATGCTGTCCCTTCTGATAAACCTGTTGCATGTTGGAAGGGGACATACTCTCACCAACTTAAGAGGATGACTTCAGTAGTAAGTCCCATTGATTCTACCTTTGTAGCATCTCTCACGTAAGGCGTCTTCTCTCCTCTGATGCTCCATCTCACAGCTGGACTACTGTAATAGCCCTCTGATTGGTTTCTCTGCCTCAAGCCTTCCCCCCTCCCCATGCCAATCCCACCCTCTACTCAACTGCTAAAGTGATATGCCACCACCAACCTCTAATTCAATAAACTGTAGTGACTCCCTATTAGCTCCAGGATCAAATATAAATCTTCTGTTTGACTTTTAAAGCCCTTCATAACCTGGCCCCCTTCCTATCTTTCCAGTCTTTATACAATTTACACGTCTATTATGAGTTCTTCCATTTTGCCTCTACTACTCTGCCTGATTTCAGCAAGATGCCCCTCCTACATTAAGAGCATCTCCTCTAATCTCATCACCATGCTGCTAACTCAAGCCTTGATTGATACTACCCCACAGCCCTCAGATTGGGCTATGGACTTTTTACTCATGCCACTCTGAACCTACTTACTGCCTTCTATGGAACAAAATACTCCTAAATCCCCTCCCTCCCCTTCCTGCCTCCTTTTCTGTGTTTTCTCCTCCTCATAAGATTATTATAATCCCTTTGAGGACAGAGACTATCTTTTTATTAATTGTAGAGCTTAGCACAGTGCTAAGGCAACTAATTAGGCAACTAATAAACATTTATTAGATTGGATTATGAGCCGGTGAAATTGACCTTCTTGCACAAGACATTCATTCTCTGGACTCTGTACAATTTCAATGGCTGTCTCCATGTCTGATATACCTTTCTTCCTCACTTCTGCCTCCTGGCTTCCTTTGAGTTTCAGCTAAAATCCTACCTTCTAAAAGAAGCCTTTCCTAGTTTTCCTTAAAGCTAGTGCCTTCCCTCTTAGATTGTCTCCAATTTATCCTGTGTGTATCTTGTTTGTACATAGTTATTTGCATGTTGTCTCTCCCATTAGAATGTAAGCTCCTTGAAGGCAGGGCTTATGTTTGCTTTTTTTTTTTCTGTAATCCCAGTGCTACAGTAGAAACCTAATAAATGCTTGTTGACTTGATTTTAAAATGTAGGCACTGTTTCTTCTGCCAAGAGTTCTCCTAATTCCCAGTATTTTCATAATGACAACATAATTAAAGAGTACAACTGTAGAACGTAGTAAAAAGACAAGGGCTCACAATAAAAGGAAAATGATTTTTTGATACCTTGTGTGATGTGCAGGGGAGAGGCATTCCCAGGCAAAGCTTCATCAGTGACCCCTGAGACCAGGATTCCAGGCTGACTGTTGTTATACTCCCAACGCTTCCACTGAAGCTGCTGCAACCAGTACATCATGGTTTGTTTGTTGACAGCCTAAGAGGTCACAAAAATTAGATTTAATCCTTGATTCCTGTAAAGCAAGTTGGTTCTTGTTTTATCTCTACATTCTTTAAAGGATGGAGTAAGAGAAGGAGAAAGGTATGGTAACTACCTCTTTTCAGGATAGCTCAAATTCCAACATAAAATCATAGGGGTGGAGTTGGAAGGGACCTCAGAGAACAGCTGGTTCAATCCTTGCCCTTTACAGACAAAGAAACTAAAGCCCAGAAAGTTAAATGACTTACCCAAGGTCACACAGGTATGAAATGGAGGGTTTCTGCTTAGATTCCAGTCAACTGAGGAACTGCCAGAACTAACATTTTATGTTTAAAAAGAGTAGGGAGGGGCAGGTAGGTGGTGCAGTAGATTCAGCACTGGCCCTGGAGTCAGGAGCACCTGAGCTCAAATGTGGCCTTGGACACTTTCCACTTACTAGCTGGGTGACCCTGGGCAGTCACTTCTTAACCCCAAATGCTTCAGTCCCTGCCAGCCCCCCCCCAAAAGATTGGGGAAATACACAAAATATGCAGGAATTACCAGGAATGGAAAACTTTCTCTTTCACATAATTTAAGATTCAGACATAAACATTACTTACATATCAAATCTTTTTAGTTCAGATGATCCTTATAAAATTTAGTGGTTAAATGATGGCCTTTCTTTGTCAATGTAAGACAAAGTTCTGAAATGTCACACGCTCTGAAGCCGAGGATGGGGCACAGAGTCTAAGCTATGTAAGTACAAGATAATATATATGTATTCCTCCCCTTTCGCTTTTCCTTCCCTATATCCTGGTCTCCTGCTACGGGCACTCTGCTAGGCTGACACTGGTAGCATAAAAAACAAAAGTTGTGTCATCCTGAGATTACATTCTACTGGAAGGAGACAACACATTCACCAATAGATGTCATACTGCTGAGGTTTCACAGTTTGCTGTGGTGGGACTGTCCCAAAGCATTCAGTCAGTCCACCTCTAATCCAAGTACAGGCATTTACTGGGAATGAAGCCTCCAAAGAGCTGAGTTCCAAGATGAACCAGCAACTTAGTCAGACAACACAGGCAAATTTATAGTGTAATGATGCTGATGACACAATAGAAATGATAAATATTAAAATGGTAGGAGGGGTTTGTTAAGTGATTAGGTAATGTAGAAGGGTCCCAGCCTCAGTGGAACTGCACATTTGACTACCCACAATGCATAGAGGAAAAACCCACTGGGGGGCATTAACATATGATAATGATACTATAATAAGCCTCTCTACATTACAAGTTCACCTAAAGGACAGCTTTTGCTGTTACTGCACAGGTGCCTATTTGGGGAAAGTCTCTTCTACTGTTTTGGGGTCCACATCCTACTCTGGCATACTGGTAGTACTGCTTTCTGATTGGCTGATTATTGGGGTCTGTCTGAGATCAGATAATGTAGTTGTGGTTGAGTTCATGGACACACCTGCTGTTTCCATGGGAAATATGAGCAATGGGTTTGGGGGCAGTGGCTAGCTAGAGGCAGCGGCTAGGATCCCATCACATGGACACACCTGTTGTTCAAGTGAGCAGTGAGGCATAGATGAGGAAGTTAGGATATTGGGGGGGGGCAGTGGGCCTGCTGTTCAGTGGGGCCTATGACTGACTCTGGGGGCCTGTGGTATGGGGTTAAAGCTAGGTTGTGTGGTTAAATCAGGACATGCTTGTTGTTCAGTGAGGCCCATAAGGAAGTCAGAATACTGGTGCTGGGGGCAGCTTTATTAGGATTTATTCCATCAATACAATGAAAAGTAGAAAAAAGCACTAATAAGTCTTTTGGGGGGTGGAGATGGGGAGGGATATCGAAGCCTTCATGAAGGAGTTGGCACCCAAGTGGAACCTTGAAAGAAGATAATGGGGGCAGCTTGGTGGCTCAGTGGATAGAGGAGTCAGGAGGACCTGAGTTTAAATCCAGTCTCAGACCAGACACTTAACATTTACTAGCTATGTGACCCTAGGCAAGTCACTTAACTCCAGGTGCCTCCTGTAAAAAAAAAAAATGAAAGAAAGATAATGAACCTAAGAAGCAGAGTTAAGGAAGAAGTGCATGGGGACTGGTTTGTGTTAGTGAAGGAATGAGGCCTAGTACAGGATCATGGATCTAGAGTTGGAAGGAAATCTGGGGCAATCTAGTCCAATGCCTTCATTTTACAGAGGAGAAAACTGAGGGCCAGAGAACTTCAGTGACTCGCCCAAGGTCATACAAGCAGAAAATGTCTCAGAGGTGGGATTTGAGCCCATGTTCTCCGTTTCCAGGTGAAGTGGTCTTTCCACTGTACCAGTTTAAATGGAGTACGAGTTTTATGATGGGGAGTAGCATGAAATGAGGCTGGAAAAGTGGATGAGAGTCATAATGTAGAGGGCCTTAAATGCCAGGCCAAGCATTTTGTATTTTATCCTATAGGCAATGGAAAACCATGAAAGGTTTTTGACCAGGGAAATGATATAGTCAGTCCCAGGCCTTGAACATAGCCTGGTATTTAAATGTTTGTTGAACTGATTGCTGAAATATGGTACCTAGAACTGAGCACAACAAGGTAGTATGGATAAAGTAGAAAGAATGTTGGATTTGCTCTTGTCAAAGGACCTGGGATCAGAAACTGGCTCTGTCTGGTGTTGAGACCTTTTGCAAATTATTTAACCTCTGACCCTTGGTTTCTCCTCTGTAAAATGAGAGAGGTTAGATTACACTAGAAGACTTCTAAGGTCTCTTTCAGTTCTAAATTTATGATCCTGTGACCAGGGTTCACATATTGTGATTCTCAGCACTGTCCATAATCAAAAGACCTAGGTTCAAACGCCATCATTTTCTAGGCAAGACACTTAATCTGAGCTTTATCTATAACATCTGGATATTTTTGAGATCCTACTCTGTGGTCTCATCATTGTATGCTAGTGAGCCAGCCAGCCAGTCAATAATCACTTAATGAGCACCTATTATGTATCTGTCATGCATTTTCTACCGGAGATGGCGATACAAAGGCAAAATAATCCCTGTCTAAGGTATCATGAAAACAACTATGTACAAACAAGAAATATATAGGGTAAACTGGAGATAATCAATGTAGGGAAAACATCAGCATTACACCTGAACCAGCATTCTTGAAAGTTAAGCTAATGAAACCCAAGCTTTGGTATGTACTAAACCAAGCTGGTAAAGACTTTGAATACGGGGCATAGTGGCAGACCAAAAGTTTGTTGTCTGAGAAGCAGCCCAGATAAGTTTCTAAGAGGTTTATCACAAGGTTGACAATAGGGAGTTGAATCGTTCACCCCTTGCACCCTTTGAATATTATTATTATTGTAATATTATAATATTATTACAATGTAGAGTTGTCATATGTGGAAGACGTACCCATAAAAATTTTTATTAATTATAGTTTGTACTACCATCTCACAGGATATTTTGTATACCTTAATACCTCTATAAATGTGAGTTACCAAGACTTTTTTACTCTAAAGTACCACTTAATAACCATCTAAACAGGGTGCTTATAATGTCCCAGCTCTAGGTAGTCTGTGCCTCCGCTTACTCAGTATGACCGCTTTGAACGTCTTACCCTAAGGCACCACACCCTGGCCACCTAGGTAGGTCAAACTTTCTTTGACTAATCCTCAGATTATTCTCAGGAAGGTCATTATGCCAATTAAACAGCAGCAGCAGAGAAGGTTTAGAAAAAGTAATCAACATCAAACACGGGTGACAACAATCAGTCAAAGAAATCTAAGGCACTAAACATGCTTCTTTCCCCACAGGCTCTCAGGAGGAAGCACCCAGTCCTAGAGGGATATAATGCAGGAAGACAGAAAAGAACCAGAACTCCCATTTCTGATAAGATTAAAAAACCTCCGTCCCTTTTCTCCACAAGATCTCACTTTTAATTAGAAAGAGAAAGGCCTAGTTAACAAACCTTTCAAAAAAGTAAAAAGTATGACCAACGACATGGATTTTATTACATGCTCAAGGCCAAATTTTACAGAACATCAAAGATCAGTCAACAAATGGTTATTAAGCACCAAGTGCCAAACACTTAGCTAACAGCAGTGGATACAAAGAAAGCCGTAAGAGAGGAGCCCCAGTTCCCAAGGCGCCTAGTCCAATGGTGGAGACAACGCGCAAACAACTATGTTCACAGTAGGCGCTTAATAAATGTTTATTGATTGAGGTACAAATAAGCCATATACGGGATATATTCTAAGTAAACAACAGTGGGAAAGCACTAGAATTAAGGGGGTGATCAGGTTCCAGCTTACAGCAGAATGTGGAATTTTACCCAGGGCTTGAAGGCAAGCTAACAGCAAGGAAAAACAGTTCCATTTACCTTCAGGGTAAAAGCTCGACTTGGAGTTTTGATCTCAAAAGTGCCCTCTTCGGCTTCCACTCTGCAATCAAACGTAGCAGTGGAAAGGTCGATACTCCCCAGGGGGTTAGCATCCTGGGCAGTCCTGGAGTAATACAAGTGGCACTTTTTCTCGTCGTAGAAGAACCAGCGGGATTTCCAGCCCTTGATGGGCCCTTTGCCTCCGAATTTAAGCAAGTACCCGCAGAGCTCCTTGGCGGCCCGGTCCTTGGCTTCTTTTCCGGGCTTGGGCAGCTCAGCCTCCGAGCCCTCCGGGGACGCCGGACCTTTCTCGGCCGCGGGGCTGGGGTCATCCCCGCTCGCAGGCTCGGGGGGAGCATCGTCCGGAGCCGGCGGCCCAGGTTCCCTCGGGGTTTCCTCCTCCATCTCGGGGTTAATCCAGGAGGGAGCTCGGCTTCCTCTCCGGGGCCGGGGGGGAACCCAAGAACCGCCCGGAGAGCCAAGCCTCATTCACCGCTAGCCCTCGAGACTCGTAGCAGAGTGGAGGCGGGGCTTCCCCGATTGCTAGGGGGTCGGGGCGTCCTGTGCGGACCCGCCTCTCGGGGGAGGCTTCGGGGTGACCCGAGGTCGACAGGGCCCGGGGCGGAGCGGGACCGCCGGAGGACGCCTCGGACCCGCCGCTGCAACTGCAAGACCACCAAGCTCACCCCCAACCCTGAGCGCACCCCGACTGCGGCTCCACCGATTGCCGCGCCCCCCGCGAGGCTCCGCCTCCAACCTGCCCGGACCCGCCCCTCCCCTGTCCGAGGCGAGCCTGGCCACGCCATCTTTGCAGCTGGCGCGCGGCTCCTCCAATAGGAGCCGACTTGAAGTAGGGAAGCGAGGCTGTCTTCCAGCCCCCTCTGGGGGCGGTGCTTACCGGTGTTACCTCCCTCCCTTCCTCTGCCCAACTCCGACTGCAAATTCTCCACACCTTTTTTCCGCAATCGGAAGGAACGCAAAACGTAGAAAAGGAAGATTGTCCCTTTCCCCGTCCCTTCCGCAGGGCTGAGGCTTCCTCGGTGGGGAACATTCCGGAGTCCACGTGGGTACCTGCCGCTCCTTCCCAGGTGACTGAGCTGGGGAGGTACATACCTTTAATGCGGTCGGGCGTGGCCGGCCCTTGAGGAAGGGGTGCCGCGACTGGCCTGGGAGAGTGTCGTAATCTCGCTGCAGCCGCGACTTTGAGAAACCGCTGCGCCATTTCACAGAATTTCGGGGTCGTAGGGCTAGGGGAGGAGGATTAGTCGAGCCTGTACCCGAACACGGATCCCTCGAAGACACCCCCTGACAAAAGACCCGGCGAAGGCCGGGTTACCCACCCGCTCCAAAGGAGCCCTCTTCCGCTTTGGAGGGCTGTGGTGGTTAGCAAGTCTTTCCTTACCTCAGATTAGATAAAACATTTATGAAGCTTTTGCCCTTTACGGGGTACTGTGCTAAATGGGAATATAAATAAAATTTTAAAAAAGCCATCCCCTCAAAGAGTTTACATTGGGTTGCAGACAATACATCAAAGGCAGCTGAAAATCTGAAATTTGCTTCTTTGCAATTTGGTGGTCTGGCTCCTAGTTTTTTTCCCGTTGTGGCCAAGCTGAACAATCCCTCTCCACAATTTGAAGGAAGCTCTCAAGCTAATTCAACACCCGCCACCCCACCCCGGGTATTGCCTTTGCTTCCTTCTTTGTCTGGAATGGTCTCCAACCCCTCATGATCCTAGTTCTATCCTTTCAGGATGTGTTTGCCTTATCAATGTTATTGCTAAAATCTGTACCTTCCCATCTCACCCCCCAGAATTGATCATGGTTTTCCAGATGTATTTTGATCAGGGCAGAGTGTCACCTCCCACCTTCTGGACACTGCTTCTCAATGCAGTCAAAGCTAGCATTAACTTTTTATCTACTAATCCGAATGGTATATAGCTCTTGTCTGAGCACCAGCTCATTTTTTCAGATGAGGAAACTGAAGCAAACAGGGTTAATTGACTTGCCCTGGAGGGTCACACATCTAGGAGGTATCTGAAGTCAGATTTGAATTCAGGAAGATAAGTTTTCCTTACTCCAGGCTTGGCGCTGTATTCACTGGGCTACCTAACTGCCAGGATTGAGTTGGAAGATACTTCAAATGTTGAAATGTCACACAGTTGTCTCAGTGAGTTTGCAGTCCACTAATTCCCCTACACAAACATTTATTTTGTGACCACTACCTAGCTAGATGATTGTAATAGCTTCCTATCTGTAACTGGTCTCTCTCTGTTTTAATTCACTCACATAGCTACTCGACTAATATACAAGTCTGACCTTGTCTCTACCCTGCCCAGAATTGTTCAATGATTACTCACTGTTTAAGGGATGAAGTTTTAAGTTTCTTAGTTTGGCATTCCAGGCCCTTTATAACTAACCTAGTCTGATCCCAGTTCATTTCAACACAAAGTGTAGGTTAAATGTAAGGTCCTAAATTAGATATTAGAGATGGAAAGAAGAAAAATGACAGGTTCCCTGCCCTTCAGGGGCTTACCATGTAACAGATGGATTAGAAATACTGTAATAACTACCACCTTTGCCAAGAAAACTCTAAATGGGGTCATGAAGAGTTGGACACAACTGAAATGACTGAACAACAGCAAGAAAAATAACTAATACAGTATTTCTTAGTGCTACCTTTAACATGTATGAAACTCCAGCAGTTAACCAGTTTCTTAACAATTCCAGATCATGTTCAGACCTGGAGTCTAGCATCTGTTCTTCCCCTAACTATGTGTGATATAGAATTAGTCACTTTCCCTTTCAGATTCTCGCTTTCTTCACCGAAAGGGAGGAGATTGGTCTAGAAGAACTCCAACCTTTAATGTCCCTTCCAGCCCTAAAAATTCTATTTAAATCCCCTTTACTTTTCTGTATTTTAACCCTGCAACTTGGTTGTATGTCCCTTGAATGTGGGTATTTGTTTCATATTTTTGTATCCCCATGACGCTCCCCATGACAATGTCTTGGACCTAATAGGTGGTCAATTTAAAAAAAATGCTTGGTTTGACCATTACAAAAATATACAGTTTAATCATTCACTTATTTCAAATGTCCCTATGTTATCTGAGAATTCAGATTGTACTTTCCTGAAGGAGAGGAATAGTTGAATACTTCTGTGTCCCCACAGTGCCAAGCATAATCTTTCATTTAAAAAAAAATTGTTTTAATGACTGAATCATTTGGTCAATTCAAACAGATACTTTTATGGTATCCTTTGTTGTCACCTTGTGGACATATCTGGAACTGCACCTGTCTAGCCAATCAATCAATCAACAAGAATTTATTAAGGTCCTGCTATGTGCCAGACTTTGAGGAAATAAATCCACTACAGAGCTATTCTTTGAGGATACTGATTTGATGTCCAAAAGTCTGGGCCATTATCAGTAATCTCAAAGGTAGACTTGAACCATGAGCACTTCTTAGTCACAAGGAAGGAAGGAAGGAAGGGATTGTTGCTAGTCTCCATTACCAGATTTCTAACCAATCATGTTGTTTCCTGCACCTCAGTTTTGTAACCCATTACATTATCCCCAATCCCATGATGTCACATGTTCTGTTCTTTGTTCTGTACTCCCCAAAACCTATAAAAGGGGAACTTTCCATCAGGTTGGGGTCTTTGGCATAAATGGAGGCAAGCCATTAACAGCATGCCCCTGTTAATAAATGTTATCTTGCTCAAAAAAACCTCAGTTTACCTTTTTGCTAAATTTCACCCGTGACATACAGAAATATTTATCATAGCTCCTTTTATGGTGGCAAAAATTTGGAAACTAAAATTAAATGTCCATCAATTGAGGAATGACTGAACAAGTTGTGGTAGGTGAATGTGATGGGGTACTAATGTACTATAAGAACTGAGGAAATAATATGATTTCAAGGAGACATAGAAAGACCTGTATGAATTGATGCAGACTGAAGTAAATAGAATCAGAACAATTCATATAGCATAATATAATAAAACAAATAATTTTGAAGACTTCTATAAACTGATAAAAAATGAAAAGAACCAGCAAAACTATACAATAACAACAACACTGTAAAGATAAATAGCTTTTAAAAGTTGTAAGAACTATGGCTAATACAGTAACCACCCATGATTCCAGGGGACTGATGATGAACTTTCCCACCTGGTAGTAAGGTGATAGTTTTAGAAGGATGAGACAGATATACACACAAACATATATATATATATATATATATATATATACATATACATACATACACACATGTTCATCCTTTGATTTGAAAGAAGACCAATGACATCATCATACTGAGGTCAGGGTACAGTGCGTTCAGCAGTGACTTAACAGTCCAATGTGAGTTTGGAAGTCTGTACCCTAGTTGGGCACAAATAGTCCATTGGGACATTTGGGATGGAGATGTCTTTAGATTCTGCTTTGCTCATAGAGCATAGAGCATAGCACCTTCTTTGATGCAGGCACGCTATGCTGGGAGATCCTGTGTCAGCATTTCACATGTTTCACAGTTGATACCAAAGTTCTTCAAAGTGGCCTTAAGAGTGTCCATGTACAGCTTCTTCTGACCATCATGTGAGTGCTTGCTTGTGTGAGTTCTCCATGAAACAGTCTTTTGGGTAAGTGTGTTTGACATTTGGGATAGGTAGCCAGCCCCACAGAGTTATTCCCTCTACAGTAGAATTTGAATGCTTGGTATTTCAGTTCAAGAGATGACCTCAGTGTCTGATATCTTATCTTGCCAAGTAATCTTCAGAATCTTCCTAAGATAATTCAAATGGAAATGGTTCAATTTTCTGGTATAGCACTGATAGACTGTTCAAATTTCACAGGCATGTAACAATGAAGTAGGCACAGCAGCTTTATAGACCTTCAGTTTGGTATGCAGTCTAAAACCTCTTCACTCCCACACACACATGCATACAGGCAATGAAGGAATTTATTTTGCTTAATTATGTATGTTTGTTATGATAATTTGTTTTCTTTTCCCCATAGAGTGAGGTAGGAGAGGAATAGAGAAAAAGATTTTTGCTCATCAGAATAAGTGTTTTTTGGGGCAGCTAGGTGGCGCAGTGTAAAAGCTGGACTCAGTCAAAAGGCTGCACCCAAGGACCTAGAAGGCTATAGCTCCCCAACCCCTGATCTAGAAAAAGACAGTGACTGATTAATGAATGTCATTCTAGGGGAATTCCTTTTAAAAATACTATTCTTTACTCTAAAGAAGAGTTAAAAAATAACACAAACTTAACATCTGCATTCAGATGTTATGTGGCTCTTTAGCTATCAAATATTTTGCACAAATGCTACTTGCTATGGGTTATAACTAATTCTTGTGACCAAGGTAAAGGATTTTGAAAGGATGGTGTTATTTTGCTTTCTAGTTGGGCATAATAAAACCTTTTTGGCAAATAATATATCACATCAAATTCTTTCTTTTTGGGGTCTCAGGTATAAATCAATCAATTAACAAGTTTTTATTAAATACCTATTATGTGCCAGGCACTATACCAGATGTTGAGGATACAAACAAGAAATGAGACAACTTCTACTTGCAAGG